GAACGGCCTCTTACAACTTCCCTAAATTCTAAAATTACTCTAAAAAAAACACAGAAAAACACGCATTGCCATCAAGTCAATGCCGACTCACAGTGACTTTATAGAACAGGGTAGAACTGCCCCTGTGAGTTCCCAAGACTGTAACTGTTTACAGGAGTAGAAAGCCCGTCTTTCTCCAGAGGAGCAGGCTGGAGGTTTCCAACTGCTGACCTTGAGGTTTCCAACTGCTGATCTTGAAGATCAAGGCCAAATTGTAACCACTACACCTCCGGGACTTCCTCTAGAATAAAAAGCTACTCCCAAAATGTTTTTAGCCTTCTTGGTTTTGTTTTGCTTTGTGTTTACATTCTCAAGCTGATTCCCATCATCCAGTTGGCCTTACTTGATATAGGAAATATTTCACTCTTTGGATTTTCCTTTTTTTTTTTTTCTTTACATACAAGAGTAGAAACAGGACTAGCTCATAGGCATGCCTCCGCGCTGTTACAAAGATTTAATGAGTTCATATATGGCCAGCCCTCAGAACTTCTGGAAGCTTTTTAATGCCTGGACTTGATTTCTGAGCTCAGAGTTCTGTTGATGACGGGAAGTGTAGCTCTTGAACAAATTATTTAACTCCTCCGTGTCTCTGTATTCTCCTCTGTAAATGGAGCATATCACGGTCCTTGTCTCATTGGGTGGTTATGGACATTAAATGAATCAGTAAGTGGGAATATTTTGAATAGTGCTAGATCAATAAACATGAGCTTTTCTTCCTCGGTATTATTTCAAGGGAACACGTGGCAGGCTATTTCATAAAGAAAAATGAAATTTGAAACCCAGCACCAAAAACTGCATTTCCCTGTTAATCTTTTTCTGTTTAAAAAAACACTTCGGTAAAGAGATAAGGTGGGCTATTGAAGTCACGTGTTGAGGCACAAGGCAGTGAGGCAGTTCGTCAACAGTGAGCTTAGTCGGATCGCTGTAGTGCAGGTTATTCAGGGTTGCGATAACACAATGGATGACATGAAAAAACTCTGCCACGTGCACTGTGCCTCCGGGTGAGCTTACATGAACGGAGAAGCTGGGGCATCTGTTTATGGAGTCATTTTCAATGGCACCACAACCGTTGCTCCTGAAGAAGCAATGACTGTTGTTCTGAAAAGTCAAATCGCACAGAGGTGAAAAGCAAAAGCGCCACTGATGTCAACGGGGGTCTTCTGGCTGAAGACAGACCTCGAGCACTCACTCCCGGAAGGGAATTCCCCGAGGATAGAGCACAAGGACCAGAGGTGAAAGGCTGCAACCCTTTCAGTTCTCGGGAAATACTGCTGTTGCGGGGAGTGACCGTTTATAATTTCTCTCCTCGCCAATGTCATCATAAATGAGGCCATTCATGACTCTTGATCCTGCAAGTGTCATTTAACATCCTTCCTAAAATGTTAGGTTTAAAAGGTATGCCCCAGCATCCTGGGGCCAAAAAATGTCCAAGAAATGACAAGGAAAGCAGAGGGAAAGGAAAGGAAAGCAGAGGGAAATAAGAGAACCAAAGGCCAAGTATACTCAAGCTGACAAGTTCGTCTCACCTACCATCATCTCCCTTCTGCGGGACCCAAAGTAACAAGGATAGCAAGAACATGTGACACAGTCTGTCTGCCCGTGACTCCCTGTCAGAGAGGGGTGACGATGAACAGGAGAATGCGATGTAACTTTATCCCAGAAGTCCCTGAGTGGTTAACATGTCCTGCTACTAACAGAAAGGTTGTGGGTTTGAATCCATCCAGAGGTCCCTCAGCAAAAGGTCTGGTGACCTTGTGAGAAATCAGGCACGTAAAACCCTATGGAGCCCAGTTCTACACGGACACACTAGGGGTCGCCTTGAGTCAGCGGTGACTCAGAAGCAACTGGTTACTGGTCATTTTACCTTGATACCTATCTTCAAAGGTAAGAAAAAGACTTTCTCGAGAAGGAGATATCTTGATCCTTACACTTGGAAGGAAACCTAGGTCACCTCTGGCTGTGAACCTCTCACCATTTTAGTGCTGAGGGAAATGAGACCCAGAAAGGTGAAGAGACCCAGAGAAGACTCCTCCTGCATGGGGAAAGGGCCTAAGCCCCAAACCATGACCCTAGCTTAAACTGTTATCTGCTTATACTGCTGCTATTGAATTGGTTTTGCCTCATGGAGGCCTGACGTGTCTACATAGTCGAGCTGCTCTGTGGGGTGGTCTTGCTGTAATCTAATCGACAAAGGTAGGTCGCCAGGACTTTCTTCCGTGGTGCCTCTGGGTTATGTTAGTCAATGAACAAAAACTGTTTGGGCCACCCAAGGATCTCCTTGTTCTACTTTGATCAATCATATCAAAGGTTACATTTGGGTGACACATGGGGAAAAGATGACGCTTTCTACTACTATAAAGATTTACAGTCTCAGGAACTCACAGAGGCAAGTCTACCCTGTCCTGTAAGGGTCGCTATGAATTGGAACAGACTCAACAACAGTAAGTTTCTTTGGGTTTTTTCAAGGAGTGGTTGAGAGCTGCCCACTCCCACTTACCTCTGTTTGGGCATCCTGCTAGGCAAGGGTCAACAGTGAGCTTAGTCTGAATGTTGTAATGCAGGTGAACAAAGAGCTCTCCTTCTGCATTTTAACATTGTTTCTAAACCTCTAAGATATTCTGTTCATTCCACCGATGGCTTTCAAGCTGTCATCATTTTAACCATTGATTCTTGGAAGTACACTCAGAGCAGAGTCAACAAAATCCCTCACCTCCCCTTCCGCTGCACACACCTGCTTTCAGTGAAAAGGAAAAGGTCCGGCACAGATGGACCCATTAGCTATTAGGCCGAACATTATCACAGCTTCCATTTCTGCAGGTCACATCAGTTGACCATTGGCAGTGTCACATGGTTCAACTTCGCATTAAGGAACAACCTGGAATCTCTTAAGAATCACCCTTCGTCTTATAAACCATCCCACACATTCCATGAGAATATCTCAATTAGAAAAGTAAATCTGGAGAGTAGATGATTAAATAAATCTGTGGTACACTGGCCACATCCACAGAGGACTTCTGCCTCCAATCCTTCACCTATCCCCTCCCACATAGCTTGATCCTTTTCATCGTTTCCCAGGCAGTGTCTGGCAGGACGGACTACAGCAGAGCCACAAAAGAAGAACGACCAATGGACACCACACGAATGAGCAAGGAGCACTGATACGGAAGTGAAAAGGAAGGAGCAAAAGAGAACACGCCCTTTGGACCCAGATCTGAGGGTGATAAAGTCAGAAGAGTGGTTTCCCGGGAGTGTCTGGTTTGGAAAGGGACATGAGGACACGGTACAAAATCCTGGGAATCTCCGAGCTCTGGGATCATGTCTTAGCCCTAGGAGTGTACACATATATAGGAATGCATTCACTGGAAACTTCCCTAAGGGAACCAGGCTTTTATCTGAAACACGCTCATTGCAGATTAAAGGAAGGGAATGACTCCTTTGGATTTAAATCCGAAACACCCCTCGTGTGAGAAGAAGCAAGGTCATGGATCTGGAAGTCAGTGGACTTCAAATCTCTTGCCTTTGAGGTTGCTGAATAATTCACAACTTGAAACTGCCATGCTTTCTTTGCTCTTTGTGACGTGCCTTGGTCTTGCAGAAATTGTTTTGCCTGTTGAAACATTTGCCTCGTATCTAACTTTCATTGCTTTCTTAAATAGTGCCCGGTTACTTAAGTTTTTAATTTGTACAAATGAACAGCTGGTGTTTTTTAGTTTAAAAAGCTTTCCAAAATATCTATATTTATTTTTTCTCAGTAGTGCTTTAAAATTTATGGGTTAAATTGATGAGACTATTATTAGAATTGCCAAATGCCTCATGGAGATAAGTTATTTCTCAACAAGCTGATAATGCTGTCTCTAAAGTGGACCAGGGATATACCTATATAAACTACATACACAAGTGGATTTTAAGATCTCACTTAATTGCCAGCACTTCAGTTCTTACATTGTGGCCTTGCTTCTTGCCCTCTTGAAGAGATCACTGAAGACGTAGATGTTATAGCAAAGTGTGATGAAGAAATCAGATGGTGCCCGGCTATTAGAATTGCATTTGGTGTCTTAGAGGCTTATCTTAAAACAAAAAGCCATCAAATGAAGTGTATAGTAGGTCCAAATGGAAGGAGCACACCAGTCTGTGAGATCCAAGGACTATAAATCATAAAGTCTTAGATCAGAAGAGGGTATTATATTAGAGTTTAAATTCTGAGTACCCGGTTACCCCTGGAGTTTCTATGACAACATAATTTCATACAGATGAAACAATCATACAGTTTAGCACAGTGAGGCTAAGCAGAAACGCTGAAGACAGACTGTGGGCACAAATCTACCACAAACTAAATAACATTCACTGTTAAACAAGTTTAATCCGACTAAGCCTCAGTCTTTCTTTTCCTGAAACTGAGGGTAACAGTCAGATTTCCTTATAGACTGGTTAAAAGAATAAAAGAATATTTCTAAGCACAGAGCAGAGAATAAGCCAGTCAGTAGTACTAGTAAACTGGGAAATGTTTCATTTTATTACACATTGGATCACTATGAATCAAAGCCAACCGGACAGAACCTGATGACAACAACAATCATACTAACTGTTGGGGTCCTTTAGATTCCATGCTTATCTCCTTGTACATACATCAATGTCTGATGAATTCTTCCCCCAAACAGCTCTCCTTGCTCATGTGTTCCTTTTTAAACATCAGTCACTGTCAAGTACACCCTGACTTATGTGGACAACCCCATGCGGATGAGAGTAGAATGTGCTCTGTAGCGTTTTCAGTGGCTGATTTTACAGATCTGTTATCACCAAAACTTCCTTCCGAGGTAGAGACTCAAACCTCTAACATCTTGGTTAGAAGCTGAGTGTGTTGACCATTTGCATCACCAGGGAACAAAGGCTAAAAAGCAGGTGCTAATTTCCCAACAGCCTAACCACGATTGCCCCCCTCCCACCTCCCCCCCACAGCTTACCAGCAGGGCATCTGGGAGGTTGTGCTCCTTCGTAAAGGTGATGACCACAGGGGTGATGTCCAGTGCACTGAGTTCCAGTGTGGCTGTGCTAACAGACGTTGTGTCATAGGCCCAGCCTGCCTCGAAGAATACAGCCAGCTTCCTCACGAGAAGGCCCGAGCGCACACGTTTGAATACATGTCTTCCCACGAACCTCATGGTGGCCCCAAGGTTCCGTTGGCCAGATGACCGTACCAGGGGGATTTCCTTCACAGCCTGCAAGAGTGCAGTCTTCCCCTTATAGTCTAAGAAGCGCAGCAGGTAATCTGTCCTGGCACTGTATGAAATGATGGCCACTCGGGCACCCGTGGGGCAGGGACTCTCACTTATTTCCATCTTCATCAACAGAGATAACAGAATGTCTCTCATCCTTTCGAAATCCAACTGGGAGACATCATTGGACATATCCAAGGCAAAGACCACCTCCGTTGGGAAGGCTGGGCACTTGGAAACACCTTGACACAACGGATACACAAGATTTAGGGATTTCTGGAGAGCCTCTAAACATGAAGGTTTAAGTGAATGAGGAGGATTATTTACCTGTTGAACAAGCTGGAAGGGAAATGATTTTGGAGAGAAAATAAAAGCATAGTTAGTTTACTTAGACAGTGGCATCTTTTCCAGGTGAATACGTCAATCTAAAGAACTATCTCCTATGAGAGACTGACTCTTGCTTGCGTGTGGCAGAGAACTCTGGTTGTTCCCATATCGATTTTTCGTGTTTTCTTTAGTAGAATTTATGTGTTTCTGACTGAGCAGGTGCCTGCCTAACAAATAACTGACTACATTTCCAAGTAACTTTTACTAAGCTCGGTCCCTCTGAATAAGAGCGATGGCAGTACAACTCTTGAATGGTGTCCTTTCTGGCTGGTTGAAATGTAGACATAATGATGGAAACTTCAGCAACCATTCTGGACCACGGGGTGTCCAGGAGGAGCGCCCTCTCCTCAATGGCAAAGCGAGAACTTAGAAGGACCCTGAATTCCGGAACATGGTGGAATCCCCATCAGCCCCTGACGGCTATTTCTACACTTTGATGTGAGAAACACATTGGCATCATTGTTACTTCAGGGTTAATTCACACTCACTGAGCTTAAATCGAATAGGCTGAGTTGCTTTCATGGAATAGACGAGCATATCGAACACTGTCGATCTAGTACTTATATTAGCTATAAACTGGCATATATGTCTACAAAAGTAATGTTTTCATAAAAAGTACATGAAAACAAAAAATTTAAGTGATCATTAATTCCATCATTAAATTAAGAACAGCATCATCTTTCATAATGATGGTATATTATTTTTCTATATAGATGGCCCATGATGTCTTCAATCAATATACCTATCACTCTAAATATCTGGGTATAACTAACTGTTCAATTAGATCCCTAAGAAAAATCTCCATAATTGCAGAATTTCACAAGCAACTGTCCAATTGTTCTTCAGAAAGTTTGTATCAATTAACATTGTCACCAATAACATGTACTTTTATAAATTTCCCAGCGTTGGGTTGGGATAATCATTATTTTGGGGTCATTTTAAAATGTTTTTGTGCACACTAACATTCATTCCAGCAGTACTAACAATAGCCAAAAGGTATAAACAGCCTAACAGCAAAAGGGGTATCCGACGGCATAATATCCAGCCATAGAAAGAAATGATGCTCTGACACTTGCTACAACATAGATGAGCGTTTAAAACATTATTCTGTGTGAAATAAATGAGTCACAAGAGAACAAAGCATCCAAATTATATGAACGATCTAGATTAGGCCAATGCATAGACAGAAAAGTTAATGGTTAGCAGGGACTAGGAAGGAAAGGGGAATGGGAGGCTGCTGCTAAGGGTTATGAAATTTTTTTTAAATGAATAGTGTTAGTGATAGTTGCTACACAATGCCATTGAATGCCACTTAAAATTATTTAAAATGGCAAAAAAAAGATTAGTAGCTTTATTGGCATATACATCCCATATCATACAATCTAATCATTTGGTCATATTAAGAAGAATTGTGCAATCATCACCACAATCAATTAAAGAACATTTTCTTCTGTACTCTTTGTTGTTAGTTCCCCATTTCCCCAACCTCCCCCGCATGCCCTTAGGTAATTATCAGTCCAGTGACTGTTGTTATAGGATTACCTATCTTGGATTTCATGTACAGAAAATCACACAAAACACAAACAGGAAGCAAACTAGCAAACAACAATGATTGGACAAAACATAGAAAAATCTCAATAGAAATAAAGCAGAAAATATTAAAAACTGAAACGGCTTTAAAATGGGTCCAAAAAAACCACCTAACTGCCACCAAGTGAATTCTGACTCCCAGTGACCCTATAGGACAGAGTAGAACTGCTTCTGTGATTATCCAAGACTGTAACTCTGTATGGGAGTAGACAGCCTCATCTTTCTCTGGTGGAGCAGCTAGTGGTTTCAAAATGCTGACTTTACAGTTGCCAGCCCAACTTGTAACCACTGTGCTACCAGGGCTCCTAAAAAGGAGAGCATATGATAAGGTATTACATTGCAATCTAGCTACACCTGCCATAACTGACTTTAAAATGCTCTCTGTCTGATAGCAGGGCTATTCGTATCCCTGACTATGGTCAGAGGTGATTTACTGGAGCCTTAATCCACTTGGAGACTCTGAAAATGGATTTGGGGTTTCCACTCTCATCTATAACCTTGTGCAAAGTGAGTGTTCACGATTTAAGCTCTCATACCATTCCCGTCTCCAGATTTGGATTTTATTATTTGCAATCCTTGGATCACACAGGCTGGTGTGCTTCTTTTATGTGGACTCAATTGATGCCTCACTTAGATGGCTGCTGGTTTGAAGACGAGCCTGTAAGATCCCAGATGCTTTTTTTTTTTCCCTGATAGCTGGGCACCATCTGGTTTTTTCACCACACTTTGCTATAGCACCCGTATCTTCAGTGATCTCTTCATGAGTGCGATTATTGAGTAGGGCCATGTCATAAGAACTAATTGCTGTTAGATTGGGGCTAAAATTAAGTGCAAGCAAATTGGAAAATGTTCTTTATCTAGACATGTATATACTTTTGTCACTATAATTTTTTTAAAGAAGAGAAAAGCAAAATATGGGGGAATGTTTCCAGTTTGAGAAACAAACGGACGATCTGGTTGTTTTAATTGCTATTCTTTAACGTCTTGTGAAGCTGAAGAATTTCACAAGTTTATTGTTCGTTGTATTTTTCCCTCCTGAATACATTGTGTATGTCTTTTGCCATTTTCCATCTAAAAGCAGTTAAATCATGATGAAGTGTCTACACATGTAGGACCGAAAGCCAAACTCGTTGCCGTCCCGCTGACGCAGCCAATGCTGGCTCACCACGGCCCCACAGGACAGAGTCGAACTCCCCCTGTGAGTTTCCAAGACTGCACCTCCGTGGGGGGTAGAAAGGCCCATCGTTCTCCTGTCTACACACACAGGTGAAAATGATTTTATGCATTTCAGCACAAGAGAGTTGGGTCCTTTGCTTGGGTTACTTGCTTATATCATTTTTGCCAAAAGTTCTGTTTACTTCTGTGCCCCTCAACGTAAATTTTAATATTAAAATGTAATGGATTTTAATGTTAAAAACACGTATATGTTCAACTTTGCCACTTCTTTCTTTTGCAGTCAAGCTGTTATTCCTTTTCATAATTTTACAGAGCACATATCCCGGAATCTCCTCGAACCACCACCACAGGTGAAGGCACAAAGCATGAAAGGAATACGACAGAAGGCAAGGCAATGGTGAAGAAAGCATCCGTTATCAAGCTAAGTCACTTGCCAATGAAATGTTTTTTACTTCATGCCAGTAAGTGAAGGAAAGTGCGGATATTCTGGGAAACAGTAAAGACCAGAAATAAATCATAGTCTGGAAATGTGATGAAATATTACTTAAGATCTGATGATTCCTAGGTCTATTTTTAAACGAATATAAATAAAATAGGACAAGATTTCTTATTGGAGTGTGACCATGGAGCCCTCTCATTTAAATGGATGAAATAAAAAGAACAAAGCTTCTTATGATCAGAATCACCAAGAAACAGCTATGCAGATATGCAATTATCTTTGCATATCACTGTATGCTGCAGTGGAATTTTTCTTCATTGCTGAGATGGCTAGTTTATCCACCACATCATTTCTGAGACCACATTGGAAATGATTACTTACCTGAAGGGATGGCTGCGTGAAGCAGGTTGATTCAGAAGAATCTTTCACCATAGACAACGGTACCTCCCAAACCTCAGCCAAATCCACAGAGAACTTATGCCCCCAACCCATCATCCATCCCCACTCGCACCACTGGCTCCTTGTGGGCCTTTCCAAACAACTTACGGCAGTTTTCTCGTGTGAGATTAACAATTTCACAAGGCTGTGAGAAAGACAGACCAAGACAGAGGAAAAGGAAATGTGTTTAATTGTGGAGCATATCATAGTTCTCCTCACTCTGATGACTTACAAATGCAATATAGAGGTCATCAATGCTAATCTGAAGCTTTTAACTACAACGCAAATTTAACTACAACCTGAAACTTGTTGAGTCGATGAAATAATCCAGCAGTTCTATTTTGGGGATCCAGTGGGCATATTAAAACATACAATATTTTGCATACAATATTTCTCACAGTATTGGCCACAGGGAGCTAAGAGAGAAGCTTTCTTTTTTTTTTTTTTGGCTTTGTTTGTTTTGTTTCATCCTACAACCTAATAGAATCAGACCTGACTTGAAGATGCTTAGATCCAGGTATCTCACCACAGAAGGTAAGAAATGGGGAATTGCTATCAGCTCTTAGGTCTCTGTATCAGCAACTCGGGTAATACTTCCTTAAACAGCTTGCAAGTCAGTTGCTCCTCACCTTTCCCCGGGTGATTCGGCTCCTTTCTTTGGATCCCTTCCTTTCTGCTCTCTCTCCTCTTGGCTCCACCACTTCCTCTTCTTTAAGGAACACCAACACCCAGACCCCATCCCCAAAAGTATTTTTGAACTCGGGAGATGAAAAATCACCAAAACCCTCAAAATTATTTTCTGGAGGTGCCACGGGACACAAAAACCTGTACTATACCATATCTTGTTTATCAATACTTGATAAGCAATTGTTGAGCTTCATCAAAATGCATATCGCAGAAAGACAGTAGCCTCGACATCCTTCCTTTCACAGGAAACTAGCATGACTTTCAAACATCCAAATTCCTTTCTGGCTTTGAACTAGTATTCTACTCACTTTTACTTTATTCAGCTATGAAATTGAAGAGTCAAGTATATAAACTTATAATACTAAAAGACTCTATAAGAGAAGAAACTAAAGAATCTTCTAAGATATGCATCTTTCTAGTTTGTAAAAGTGGAAACCTGCGTGTTCTGAATGAAGTTTAAAACTGGAATCTTCACCTACCGTCATGTCCACCAAGCCTTTGGGGCCCTTGACACCCTGGAGAAAAACAGAAATTCAGAATTAAAATGCAATTTGAAGACCCAGCACGTTCTCTTCCAGAGGTAGGAAGGACTCAGGGATGGCTCACCACAGTCTACAAGCCACTTTCTGTCCTTCCTGCTTAACCCTGGAGCTCTCTCTAACTCCTTAAGGGTGGAGGCTGAAGGGCCACGTTGGGCTCCAGACGTCCAAGTCCAGGGAACTCAGGGAAGTAATCCATAGCCTTAGTTCATTTGGGGCCAAGTCACAATTTAGGTTCAAGTTCAGGAAAAGGCCACTCAAGAGCCCAAGACTATTCAAAGGCAGGTGTAAAATAGACCTCAGACCCTCCCCCATCCCTTTGACTCTCCACTCCTGTCTCTGCCTTACTACTGAGCAACTCTGCCCTGGTGACCTTCGGATTGGAGCTGCTGGGCCCCGGCCCTGGTGGGGCTGTAAAGATCTTTGTTCTTATTCAGATTCTATCACTGCTAGCTGCATCGGGTTGACCCTGACTCATGGAAACCACATGTTCAACGCAGTGAAATACTGTACTGCCCAGTCCTTCAGCCATCCTCAAAATCTCACAGAGGTTTGAACCCATTGTTGGGTCATTCAGTCAGTCCATCTCAGGGAGCATTTCCCTCGCTTTTGCTGACCAATCACTTAACCAAACGTGATGTCTTTTGCCAGCACTAGGTCTTTCCGAACGACGTGTTCAAAGTACGCACAGTGAGGTCTCACCACCCTTGCTTCCAGGATTGTTCAGACTCCAGGACAGAGCTATTGGTCCTGGCAATGCAAGGTGTTTCCAGTATTCCTCACCAACACCACAGTTCAAAGGTGTCAATTCTCATTTGATTTTTTTCCCATTGTTCAGGTTTCACACACGTGAGCTAATTAAAAAGACCATAGCTTAGTCATGAAAGTGATCATTTTGCTTGTTAGTACTTCAGACTCTACTGCGAGGCAATACAAGACTTCAAGCAGGTCACTATAATGTTCTGTCTTTGTCTTATCTATAAAAGTGGGTATAGTGTTTCCTTCTATTGCTAAGGTTTCTGATTCTATGACTTTGTTGTGCCGCTCTGGTAAACCCTGGATGACAATAAAACCACCAGGCCCACCTCATAGACAAACCACTGTGCCCCCCCTGGACAGATGACAGTTTGGCCTTCAGGGACAAGGCATGGGACAGACCAATATGAGTGTTGGAATCTTTCCTGACGTATCAAGTGACCTTTTAGGTCATTTTAAAAATACATTAAGTGAACTTAAAACATGGTAAGTTCAGAAAGAATATGTAAATGTCACATTTTGTTAGTATCTTTTTCTCGTTTTTTGCACAATTGCTTTTTTGGATCTTATTTATTTTGCTAAACCAACTCTCTGGTGAGTTTTATGTATTTAGACTCCTCATGTTCATATATATAATAAAAATGGTATCTAAAGCCAATTTGCTCTAATCTCAATGTAGATCCTCATGTAGGCCTCAAATGTTCATTTCTATTTGGAGATATTTCTTATAAAAGCCTTTGTATTTTTACATGAAAGTTGAAAACAAAAATAGAAAGGTAAATGCTACCATTTGTCCTGGTGGGCCTCGGTCCCCTGGGGCTCCAGCAAATCCAGGATAGCCAGCATTACCCTAAAGATGAACAAAACAAAATCATGAGCTTCCTCTTTCATTTCAATTTGATGATTTCAGATTTGATTTGGTTGTCCCAAATGAGGAAGCCATCAGACCCTCAGACCTACCGTGAGAGCCCAAGTTGTCATTAAATCAAAGGGTTAATGAATTTCTGTGGACTCTCTGCACTGTGCATCATGGAGAGATGGAGAACAGAAAGAGAGGAGGCTTTCTATATGGGAACCCTCCATATTCATTCTTACATAGCCACCCAGCCATGTGTGTGTGCTTGCCTGCAAATGCACTTCCAAACAGAGCCTCCAAGTGTGACGCCATACTCCGGGAGTCTTAAGTGCAAGTGATAAAAAGCATGCAGGAAGTCTGCATTAAGGGCCTGGCATCAGAAGACAGAAGTTGCCCCAGCATCTTCCAGTCCTCAAGGCCTAAAAAAAACCCACATGCTAGCCAAGAGCTCACTGCTAGTCTTATGATTTTGCTGTTGGGTGCTGTCAGATTGGTTCGGACTCATCGTGACCCTTTGTAAAACCGTGTCTTACACCAAACGCTGGCTAGCACCATCCCCTCAATTGCTCTGTTTTCATCCTCTGCTGCAGCCATTGTGTCAGTCTATCTTGTCTAGAACCTTCCTCTTTTTCACAGCCCCACTGCTTTACTAAACAAGATGTCCTTTTCCAGAGATGAGTCTCTCCTGACAATATGTCCCAAGTACATGACACTAAGTCTCTCCATCCTTGTTTCTAAGGAGCATTCTGACTGTATTTCTCCCAAGACAGATTTTTTGTTCTTCTGGCAATCTGTGATTTTTTCAATATTCTTTGCTAGCACTATAATTCAACTGCATCAATTCTTCTTCAGGCTGCTTTATTCAATGTCCAATTTTCCCATGCATACGAGGCAATTGAAAATACCGTATCTTGGGTCAGACGCACCTTAGCCCTCTTTGCTTCTCAGTATTTCCAAGGAGTATTGTGCAGCAGACTTAGCCCATGCAATGTGTCATTTTACCCATTGGCTATTGCTTCCATGAGTATTGATTGTGAATTCCAGCAAGACAAAACCATTGATAGCTTCAGGTTTTTCTCATTTATCCTCATGTTACCTATTGGTCCAGTTGTAAGGATTTGGGTCTTTTTTACATCAAGCTGTAATCCATACTGAAGGATGAAATTGTTGATCTTCATCAGAAAGTGTTTCAAGTCCACCTCACTTTCAGCAACCAAGGTTGTTGTATCATCTGCATATAGAATTGTGCTAATTAGCCTTCCTTCGGTCCTGATGCCACATTCTTCTTTGTATAATCCAGCTTCTCTGATGATTTGCTCAGCATACATAGACAAGTATGAATGCACACCTTTCCTAATTTTGAACCACACAGTATTCCCTTGTTTTGTTTGAACAACTGCTTCTTGATCCATGTGTACCTTCATCATGAGCACAATGAAGTGTTCTGGAATTCCCATTCTTCTCAAGGCTATCCATAGTTTGGTAGGAGCCACACAATCTAACGCCTTTGCATAGTCAATAGAAAACAAGTAAACATCTTTCTGGTATTCTCTACTTTCAGTCAAGATCCATCTGACATCAGCAATGACAGCCCTTGTTCCATGTCCTCTCCTCTTCTGGAAGCTCTCTGTCAATGGATTGCTGCAGCCATTGTGGAATGATCTTCAGGAACATTTCACCTGCATATGATATTAATGACATGTTTCTATAATTTATTCATTCTGTTGGGTCACCTTTCTTTGAAATGGCTACAAATATGGATCTCATTCAGTCAGTTAGCCATGCAGCTGGCTTCCAAATGTCTTGGCATAGACAAATAAGTGCTTCCAATGCTTCCTCAATGTTTCGATTGGTTTCCATCAATTCCTGGAGCCTAATGCTTTCAGTGAGGCTTGACCTTCTTCCTTCAGTATCATTTGTTCTTGCTCAGATGCTTCCTCTTGAAATGGTTGACTGGCAGCTAGTTCTTTTTGGCATGGTGTTTCTGTGTATTTTTTCCATCTTCTTTTGATGCCTCCTGCATCGTTCAATAGTTTGCCCGTGAATCTTTCAATATTGCAATGTGAAGTTTGAATGTTTTCTTGAGGTCTTTCCATTTAAGATATTTTGAGAGTGTCCTTCCTTTTGGGTCTTCCAACTCTAGGTCTTTGCACATTTCATTTTAAGATATTTACTTTGTCTTCTCGAGCTACCCTCTGAAAATTTCTGTTCAGTTCTTTGACTTCATCATTTCCTCCATTTGCCTTAGCTACTCAATCATTAAGAGCAAGGGTCAGAGTCTCTCCTGACAGCTACTTTGATCTCTTGTTTCCTTCTTGTCTTTCTTATGGACGTTTGCGTCCTTCGTGTGTGATGTACCTGATGTCCTCCCACAGCTCATTATTGTTCAGTGCATCAAAGCTGTTCTAGTGATGCTTGTGAAATTCAGGTGGTTTATACTAAAGGTCGTATTTGGCTCTCAGGATCTTGTTTTCCTTTTCAACTTCAACCTGAAGTTGCATGTGAGCAATTGGTAGTCTGTCTCACTGTCAGCCCCTGACCTGGTTTTAGCTACTGATAGTGAGCTTCTCCATCATCTCTTCACACAGATATCATCAATTTGATTTTCATCTGAAAAAGTTAGTTTGTAGCTCATCTGGAAAAGACCACGTGTATAGTGACCTTTTATGTTGCTGAAAACAGGTATTTGTGATGAAGAATTCATTGGTTTTGCATAAGTCTATAATGTGACCTCAAATTCAATCATCAGAACCATATTTTCCAACCACTATTCTTTCATCTTTGTTTCAAACTTTTGCATCCCAAGAAATAGATAGTAATTATCAGTGCATCTTGATTGTATGATCTAATTAAAGCTGAAGACGTTAGTGAAATTCTTCAATTTCTTTATCACTAGCTTTAGTGGTTGACAGCATAAATGTGGATTATAGTTGTACTGATAGAATTTCCTTGTATGTGGATGCATATTATCTCATCACACACCGCATTGTGCTTCAAGGTGGATCTTTCAATATCCTGTTAGATAATGAATGCAATGCCACTCCTTTTGAATCTGTTGTGCCCAGTATAGAAAATGATTTTCTGATTCAAAAAAGCCAATACCAGTCCATTTCAGATGACTAATGCCTAGGGTGTTGATACTTATGTGTTCCATTTCATTTTTGGCAGCTACCAATCTTCCTAGATTCATCCTTAGTACAATCCAAGTTCCAAATATGAATAGATGTTTGTTGCTGCTTCCTCTCAATTTGAGTCTTGCACCATCAACAAATGAGAGTCGTGAGGATCTTACTCACCCACACCGCTATGGTTGACTCTACTTTGAGAAGTTAGCTCTTCCTCAGTCATATTTTGAGTGCTTACTGACCTGACAGGATGGTTTTCTGGTACTCTCTCTGACAATGTTCTGGGTCTGTACCTGAAGTTTTCCGTATCTAATTCAGTATCAATGTTTTTCTGCTATTTATAAGGTTTTCTGTGGCTAATTCCTCTGAAGCAGACAGCCTATTCTTTCTTCATAGTCTGTTCTTAGTCTGGAAGCTTTGCTGAAATATGTTCACTTTGGGTGACCCTGCTAGTATTTGAAAATACCAGCGACAAAGCTTCCAGCATGACAGCAACACACAAGCCACCAGAGTATGACAAACTGACAGACAAGTGACATTTGTCTTGTAATATTTTAGATGACATGGGATTATATGGATGTTATTGATGCTTTCTCTCTTTGTATTCAAAGCCAGAGTGGTAAATTTAGCTGAGCAAGACAACGGTAGCTAACATCAAGCAGCTTGGAAGCATATCATATTTTTCTTTATGTCCTTACCCATGTATAAAAATAATCATTATGAGTGCCTGGAAAATAAAAATTCTTTTTCCTTTCTTCCTATATCCACTGCATGCTAACCCATGTCTTCTTCCGAAAAGCTTTTCTCTCTAAGTCTATCAGCTAATTTGTGACAGAGACCCACAGGCTTAGTCTTCCCCAAAAGAACTGCCCATGATTGTGGCTCTACAAGACTGAATCTTCAGAACATAAAGGAAGGAATGTCTAATGGTAGAAGAAATAAAGCACAGTAACTTCAAGCCCAGCAAGATGGCAGCCATCATTTTGAGTGTCTAGTCTTCAAATAACTAAGAGAAAATTAAGGCTTAGAAGAATCTTAAAGAACATCAATATTCACTTTGCTGTTAAAATAATGCCATTCGTGAATGATGGGGGGAGTGCAGAGTGGAGACCCAAAGCCCATTAGTAGGCCACTGGAGATCCCCTTGCAGAGGGGTCTTGGGGAGAAGATGAGCCAGTCAGGGTGCGATGTAACAATGATGAGAAATACAACTTTCCTCTAGTTCCTAAAGGTTTCCTTCCCGCTCCCACTACCATGACTCGAATTCGACCTTGCAAGTCTGGCTAGACCAGAGAATGTACACTGGTACAGATAGGAACTGAAAATACAGGGAATTCAGGGCGGATGAGCCCTACAGGACCAGTGGTGTGAGTGGCAAAACAGGGAGGGTAGAGGGAGAGTTAGGAAAGAGGGGACCGATTACATGGAACTATATGTGACCTCCTCCCTGGGGGACGGACAACCGAAAAGTGGGTGAAGGGAGACGTCGGACAGGGCAAGATATGACAAAATAACAATTTATAAATTAATCAAGGGCTCATGAGGGAGGCGGGAGAGGAGAGGGAGGGGGGAAATGAGGACCTAATGCCGGGGGCTTAAGAGGAGAGCAAATGTTTTGAGAATGATGTACAAATGCGCTTTACACAATTAATGTGTATATGGATTGTGATAAGAGTTGTATGAGCCACTAATAAAATGATTTTAAAAAATAAATAAATAATGCCATTCAAGAACACAACGATCAGTAATGGGAACAAATCCAAGTCACAAATCTCCTAAGGAGCCCCCAAAATATAATTTAAGCTAGGAGGTACAGTTCCCAGAACCCCCCAGGACCAGTGGGGAGGTAGTCATAAAGGTCAGTGGACAGTCCTGGAATTATCTATGCCTTTTCATGGGGGTTATTTCTAGGGTTTTGTTTAATATATATATTTTTTTTCTTTTTTTAATTCAGTCTTTTGTGCCTACATTATTGTTGGTTGCCTACCGATATAAAATAGGCATGGGAAGCAAACCCAGGAGAAAGCAACAGAACCAGCAGATCCAGAGGGATTTAGGGGAAGGAGGAAGGAGGGGGAAGGGAGCAGTGAGCAAACAACACCGTAGACAGGGGAACAACTAGGGAATTAAAATCAACAACAAGGAGAACATAGAGATCCTGGGGGTATCAGAGCAACACCAATCTAACTGAGAGGAATTTCTAAGAGGCAGAAGAAGGGAAAGCATGATGGTGAGAAAGGAGGAAGGTGAAAGGAAACAGAGGAAATATCTAGGAAGCAAAGTTATGGATAGAGGTATAAACATAGGTGTGCACTTATGTAAATATATTTTTTCATGAAAATAGAGGAATTGGCCTATGTACATATATTTATATGGCAATACATTGAGGAAGCGGATGGACTTTGGGCCTCTGCTCCTTCCTCAACACAAGAACACTTTGTTCTAACAACCTGGCATTCTGTGATACTCACCCTCCTGGCACAAGCAAATATGGTGAAGAAAGCTGATGGTGCCCAGCTATCAAAAGATATAGAGTCCGGGGTTCTTAAAGCCTTGAAGTTAAACAAGTGGCCATCTAGCAGAGAAGCAACAAGCCCACATGGAAGAAGCACACCAGCCTGTGATCATGAGGTGTTGACAAGATCAGGTAATAGGCATCAGAAGACCCAAAACAAACAAACAACAATAACAAAACATATTGATGAGAACGAGGGGGGTCAGAGTTGAGACCCAAAACCCATCAGTAGACAATGGGACATCCCCTCACTGAAGGGTACCAAGGAAGGGATGAGTCGACCAGGGTACAGTACAGCACCAATAAAACACATAATATTCCTCTGGTTCCTTGAGGTTTCCTCACCCCCCACTATCATGACCCCAAACCTGCCTTTCACTGTGGGATAGACTGGAGCATGTACACAGGTACAGATAAGAGTTCATGACACATGGAATCCAGGTCAGATAAACCCCTCAGGAATAGAAATGGGAGTAGGGATACCAGGAGGGTAGGGGGAAGTTTGGTGAGGGAGAAGGGCACAGAAGAATTGTGGGGGAAGGGGGACAGCAGCCAGTGTAAAATATGAAAATAATTTATAATTTTTCAGGGGTCATGAGGGTGCGAGGGGTGGAGGGAGGGAAAAAAAGAGTTGATACCAAGGTCTCAAATAGAAATTTAATGTTTAGAAAATAATGATGGCAACATATGTACAAGTATGCTTGATACAATTGATGTCTGGATTGTTATAAGAGCTATAAGAGCCCCGGCCCAATAAAATGATCTTTAGAAAAGAAATAAACAAATGCCCTTCGATATATACAAGTGATATGTAGACACATACCTACAAAAAGATTGATGCTGCCTAACTAAAACACCAAACTGGATTTCCTGTTGTTAACGTTTAGTGAGCAGCATTTGCATTCAAAAGGTACAGGCACGTGGGGATAAGTCGGGGTAGAGAGGAGTGAGGAGAATCCAAGGAAGACAGGGGAGAATGTGCACTGACTGAGGAGCATCTACATCTCCTGCTAGCAAGTCTATTAACTATGCACACTTCAGTCTCCACACCCCGAGACCAGAAGAACTAGCCGGTGGACCAAGGATCGCCCAAGAAGGTCTTGGATGGAGAGTGTGTGTTGGGGTGCGGGTGCAGGTGGTACTGTGGAACCGAACCCCAAACTATGAAAGAGATTGGACTTACTGCTCAGAGAGAGATTGGTCTGAACCCTAAGATTATGGCCCTCCGTCACCCTTCACCTCTGGACCTGAACTCCCTCTTAGGCTAGAAGAATCAACCGTTAGAACAAAAGAGCAAGATTTACCCAAAGACAAAGTTCAGAGGGTTAGGAAAGGAGGAGGAAAGGAAACAGGAAGTAGAAGAAGCAGATATATTGAGGAGATGGCAGTGGATGAGCCCGAGCAAAATATGTATGTATTGTTGAATGGACAACTCTGGTCGGCTCTGTAAATCTTCAGCTAACTTATAAGAAAAGGCTTTGCAATCTAGAAAAAGTCCATTAAGCCCCTGGAAAAGTGCCTATCAGCAGAGGGTTGTGATGTGGATAGATGTTGGGAAATTCCTTGGATTCTTACCCTCTTCCCTCTGATTCCCTTTGGCCCCTTCTCTCCTTGTTGGCCCTGATCACCATCTTCTCCCTTAAAACAACCAAAATAGAACCTTTAATGGAAGAAACTACATTAAAAAATACCCAAACGCACAAACAAGTGATAAATACTGCATACCAGTGGGTAGGTACAAAAAAGAGATTATTTTTACCTGTGCACCAGGATAGCCAGGAAATCCGGGTTTGCCCTAGGATCAAAAATGAGGTAAGGAATGAATTAATGTCATGTCACTAAGTGTTTCATTGACATTCCACAGGAAAGGATAAGAACCTATAATTTTAGAAATAGGCTCGAAATTGGTGCCAGAAAAAAATAACTACAGCAACAGGCATTATCCTGAGTTATCCCAAGTGGTCATACCGCATTTCTCTACTTCACCATGAAACAACTTGCAAAGGACTTTTACAAACGTTGTTTCCTCCTTCATATATTGTGTAATGAAGTGTTCTGCTTAGGTAGTTTCACCCATCAGTTTGAGTTACCTGAGGTCTGCCCCAAGGGGAGGAACCCGAAGGGGGAAAGCAGCAGGTTGACAGGAAGCAGGCGCTCATGGTCAAACCCAAAGGCATCTTACAAAACACCCACTCATTTAATATTTATTGAGCACCTACTATATGCTAGGCACTAGAAAGTGAGTAATGAACAGAAAGGACAAAATCCCTGCTGCTATAGAATTTACATGCTAGAGGGGGACTTTCAGCATTTTAAAAGAAATCTATACATTTTCAGGGAGGTGGATGTACATACACACAATGGAATACTACACAAAATTAAAGAATCATAATGCATCTATGAAACACCTGGAGGATATTACAGTGAGCAGAGTTAGTGAATCACAGGACAAAAATTACATGGAACCACTGTTCTAATAAAAGTTAAGAAAGGTGGTCACACACACACACATTTCTGAAGGATACTAGGAGTGGTGAGGGAAGAAAGAGTAAATCACTAACCACAGGGTAGGCACATTTTAACTTGGATGAAATGGAAAGGCAATCTACAATACAGGGGAGGGAAGCACAAAATGATGAAGCACAAGAAGACACTGAGGAGTGTAAGAGTGAAAAGCAACATAGATTAAATGATATTACACACATACCTTATGATAACAGTAATCACAATAATCTGTGAGTGGATACACAGATAAACATGCAAGCTGAACACGTGAGGGAAGGTGAATGGAACTACATGCTGCAAATACATATGCGTTCTTGAATATAGTACAGCATATAGGGAGCAACATTATGAAAACTTCTTAGCCATAACCAAGCATCTTGAGGAAATGAGTCTCTGAGCTTGAGGGCTCAGGACCACAGTCTCAGGAGACATCAAGACCAATTGGTCCAACATTGACCACAAAGAAAACGTTCTCTATCTTACTTTGATAAGCAGTGATTGAGCTCTTAAAAGCTTGTGAGCAGTCATCTAAGGTGTAACATTCTATCCAATGGGCGAATTAATGGGCCATGTGGACCTCAGCCTTCGGGACTCTGATACCAGAAGAATTTGATGGTGTCCAGTTATCAGTACAGTGTACTCTGACCAGAATCATAATAGAAGGTCGTGGATGAAGTGGGAGAAAAATGTGGAGCAGAACTCAAAAACACACACACATACCAAAAAAATGTCCAGGAGCACTGGTCAGATAGAGTGGTCCTTACTGATTCTTCAAAAGTGGACCTGAAAAATCACCTTGTGGCTCAATTTTCAGCCAAACAATAAAAGGTCGATATGGAGAAAAATAATAAGGCTAGAATAGAAACACAGAATCCAGTTAGGTGGATATTGTATCAAACCAGGTGGGGGAAAAATCAAGTTGGCTCAGCCCGAGGGTGGCAGTGGAGATGGTGAGAGATGAGAAAATGTTAGGTCTACTTTGAAAATAGAATCATCAGCCTTGCTAATGACTTATATCTAAGAAGTCAGAGTAAGAGAAGAGTGAGTTCTGGATGAAAGAATCTATACTAAGAGACTCCTGAGATGGGGAAGGCTGGGTGTGGGGCAGTTTACCAGTAATGATGAACTAGATGGTATTACGGTACTATTATTATTTTTCAGATGTGCTTGTGGTATTGTGGCTATGTTTTTAAAGAATTTCACTAAAATTACAGCCTAAAATATTTATAGATGAAGTTATATGACACCTCAGCTTTGCTTGAAAGTACCGTGGGGGTGGGGTAGGAATAAATGGATGGGAGTATGAATGAAACTAAATGGGTTAAAGAGTTTTATTGCCGACAATAGGTGTGTGTACATGGCAGGGGTGAGGGAAGGTCGTGCTTCATTATATGCTTTTTTATGGGAATGTTATGTCATGAAAACTACTAAAAAGAAATCAAACTTGATCAATGGTGAAAGAGAAAGAGCTGTTGCTTAGAAAGCATTGAGTTTATGTGAATGGTGGTGAAATCATTTGGAAAGGGGTATCAATCATGGTTGCACAACATGAAGAGTGTAATCAATGGCCCTGACTTATACATGTCGAAGTTGCTGAACTGGAGAATGTTTTGTTGTGTATATTTTTGCCACATTTAGGGAAAAAAATGACACGAATAACAATGAGTACAAGGAAGAAGAATACGTTCTAGAGGTGAATGTCGTGATCCTTGTACAAGTTTTCTTGATATGACTGAATGATTGAATTGCA